TTCTGCGCACAACATTTATACCCAAATGGTTATTCAAACACGGAATGTGTGTGTACTTGAAGTCTGCATATATTCTAAAGATCTCATACTGAGAGCATGTGGGTGTGTGTTTATCACATACGTACCTTGTGTATGTGAGGTCAGATATGTATATATTATATAGTGTAACTGTATACATATGATATACTTTTTATTTACATTTGGTTACAATTTAAACACTTGTCGTAAATATTTCAGACACTGGAATAATTCAGGTCTATTCCCCTGTTGCCATAGTGTGCTTTGTGCTGGCCAGTGAGAGATTAAAATTTATTTCCATTGTTTAACGGAAAATAATGAAGTGCATCTGAGTGGGTTCAGCTATGTCATGCGGGAAATGTTCACTGTGGATAGGAGTCGCACTCCACCCAAATGTGCAATGATGAAATCAGTTGGCACACAAAAGCAACACATTTTGTGACAAGAATGCTTGAGAAGTATTGTACAGTATGACAAGAGCCTTTTGGAATGAATTAAACTTGTCTCAAGAAAGAAAGTATTCTTTAAGCTAGCATAATCCTGTAGGAGGGCAAGGTTTCTCCTGCTATATGCTGAATATAGTCTTATCAACAATTAGAGCTTGACATTCTCTTACCTAGACTGTGACAGCTATATCTGTGAAAATTCATGAACACATCCAGGGTCAGATTCTCAATAGCTGTGAATTACTGTAGCTGTGTGGCAGCTGAATGGAGTTAAGCTGATTTACACCAACTAATGGTCGAAACCTGGAAGTTTCAATAAGATGCATCTTCTTTCAGTAGTTAAAACACAGTTTGTTAATTTTTTCCTAAAAGTTTGTGGTTTAAAGGCACACATATTTATGGATTTATAGCACTTGCAGCTTTGGATCTTGTATTGTAAAGGAAAACTAAGTGGGATTAATTAACATACACAGTTACTTTCTCTAAGAATTCGTATGCTATTGGAACCCAACAACATAAGTCATGGAGGCTAAGGTTTAAAAACTACTGCTTGATTTGGGGTCCTCAAGCTCAGATTTTCAAAAGGCTCTAAGCAGGCATAGGTCAAAAACCAGACATGATATTAGGTACTGTTTGCACATAGTAGGAGCTTCCATTTTGCTCAGTCAATGGAGACCTGTATTTTCGGAGCAGATGCAGATACATTTGCATGTGTGCACAGTACAGCAGATGGCTCTGAATCTGCATGTATGTATCAGAGGGCAAATTGCTGTGGTGCTCTGCAGCCTGCCCTCCTGGTTGGTATGTATAGCCCTCTTTGCCATCAGCCATGCTACAGTGCATCACAGGAAACTAAATTTAGGGCCATCTGTAGTAGCTGGTTCATTATACAGTAAGGACTTTATACAGCCCTCAGGATGCTATGTTAAATGGAATTAATGCATAGAATGAAGGCTGAAAATACTTCCTCCTCTTCTTGTTAGGGAGTAAACCCTGCAGGACATGATACCATTTTACAAACAGAACAGGATTTTAACTAAACTGAATAATTAGTACTTTACAAGTTGAATTTCAAAGTAAATTTTTTACCTGCCTCCTTTTTCTTCCCTTTCTAAATATCTAGGTTGTGCTATCAACAACAGTGAATGTCGATGGGCACGTACTGGCAGTTTCTGACAACATGTTTGTTCACAACAATTCCAAGCATGGACGGAGAGCAAGGAGACTTGACCCCTCAGAAGGTAAGATATTTGTATGAAGAACAGTACACAAATGAATGCAAAAGCCTATTACCCATTCTTCAATTTCCATTTGTTTTCAGGATGGAAGGACAGCTAAGGGGGGGACTATAGAACCTCAGGGGGTTTAGAGAAGGAAGAGGCAGGAAAACAGTGTCTGTTGCATGCAAAATATGATCCTCTTTACATCTAAGATACTGGCTCCCCCACCCCTAGTTTATTAATTAGTTCGTACTGCAAAGATGAAAAACATAGAAACACTAAGTATTATCTAAATTTCAGACTTCTCATTCAGCTGGGATAGATTTGATTTCAAGCAAATTAGGCAACATGACATCTTAGTTAAACAGAACTGTTACAGCACAAGATGTGTATGAAAAAGTGTCACTGGTTCCCTTAAACAAACTATGCGCAAAGCATAACGATGCACAGAAGGAAGCTGACACTAATTGATTTTAGTTTGTTTGGCTAAGCAAGACTCATGGCCATCCACAGGATGGGTTTTGGACTATATTAAAGCAATTACAAATAGTTGTATCTGCTAAGCTTCAAAATGATTGGCCCCCTCCTCTCCCTCTTCCCATACATTCATTACCAACGCATTCCACCTCTCTCATGCAGACAGTACTCCGGATTACTAGAAAATGCTATCTGTGTCTACTTTTCCCTCCCCTGCAGCTAGTGAAAGTGAGAAGAGCTAGTGATGTTAGTAGAAAAGACAAGCAAGGATATTATTTCATTATGATGTTTTGCTGCCCCACTTCTTAACTGTGCCCTGTATCAGCCTAAAAGAAGAATTAATGAACTGGAAGAAAATGATTGAATCAGTAAAGAATTCAGAGTGGTGTTAATTCTCCCCCAGCGGGCAGTGAAATGGTAGAAGGAAAATCCCAAGATTCCTAGCCTAGGAAGCCATCCAGTTTTTCCTTGACTGATTGGATGTGATTGACTGGCTGTTCAAAGGAGTCTCATGTTTTTGGAGCACTGCCAAAGTTCCCCTCCACCTCTGACCCTGTCAGCATTGGGAATGGAGTGATGGATTGACTTTGGTTATGGCCTGGAAACCATATTGGGTTCCTGATGGGATGTATAGTCCAGAGGCCTTGAACATATGGAAGAGAGGAGAAAAAAAATCTCATCTATAAAATCAAGAAAATTATGAGAAATTGTCTCCTGATAGGAATTGGAGGAAACATTTGATATTCCCCTATCTTTTTTACCCATCGATAAATTTAATAAATCTTAATCTACCTCTCTTTCCACAGGGTTTAGCTTTTGTGTGATCATATCCTAAGAGTTTCGGGGGGGGGGGGGGGGGCGACAGCCTCTGCACGATCATTTAAGCATTTCATTTTTACACCCACTACAGTTTGCCTATTAGGCTTTAATGACACGATGTTAAGTGCCAGTAATGAATAGGCAAGTAATTAACACTAGCAAGGCAGAAAACACGCTATTTATTTATTTATTTATTGGATTTCATGGAATGGTAAAGCAGCCTTCATGGGTGAATGGCCGGAGACGACTTGTCCTAGGCCTTGGGAATTCATGCCAGCTGTGGAGCTGCAGCAGTGCAGAAACTCCCAGGAGCGGACAGGTGAAGCTGCTCTAAGCTTCAGTTTGCATCAGTACGACTCAGGACTGCTTAATGTGCACAGAAGTTGCTTGCACCCATCTGCTACAAGGGTTTACACTTAGGATTGTGAACAGTCACAAAACCGTGTGGGGAAAAAACTAACAACGTGATGCTCTGATATCCATTTTGTTTTGTTTAGCCACACCGTGCATCAAAGCAATCAGCCCAAGTGAGGGTTGGACTACAGGAGGAGCAATGGTGATCATTATCGGAGACAACTTCTTTGATGGGCTGCAAGTTGTATTTGGAACCATGCTTGTATGGAGTGAGGTAGGTAGAGATGCTTCCCTACCTGTTCTGAGGAAAGCAGAGGGGGAAGAGTGTTAATTCCTAATCCAATAATGGTACAAAAATGATGGCATGTAAGGTGGGCCATAGAAACCTGTGTGAAGGAAATTCATGGAACATGTCTGGAGACAAATAAAGAAATAAAGAAAGGGTTAGAGTTTGGGAAGGAGAAAAAATTCCCCCTAGGTCCAGAAATAAGCCAGCAATTAACCCATGGGCATAAACAGTACAATTTTCCAAATTTATCCTAAAATGTGTCTTCCTCTCCTGGAGGCAAGAAACTAGAGCAGATGTATCACTTGGCTGATCTATAGTGGCTCCTATATAGGAATAAGCAATGCCTTTACTCATACAGCATGTTTGGAGGGTGAAAAGTGAAAACGGGAGGAGTAACACAGACATGTCCTAATTGTGCCTGTCCTTTTGTTATTTCCCAGCTTATCACACCTCATGCCATTCGAGTTCAGACACCTCCACGTCACATTCCTGGAGTGGTTGAAGTGACATTGTCGTACAAATCCAAACAGTTTTGCAAAGGCGCACCAGGCAGGTTTATTTACACAGGTAGGTGATCGCAATTTACGCTGGAGGAGCTCAGACCCTTGTCGTTTCAGTAACCGGTATTGACAACTCTGCTTACTTGCTTTATTTATTTATTTAGCCTCTTGCTGTTTGAAGGCCACTCTGCTAGTTGTGACATTTGGACGTGTAAGGAGACAGCTTCATTGTTGTGCAGAGGTGTTAAGGCGCTGTTCCTACACATGCTAATATTTTTTCCAGATTAGAGCTCATGCTGTTATGATATGGGTCTGCCTATAGATATATTGAGTGTACAGGAACATGATAGTGTTTTTCCACATACTGGAAGATGTTTTATTTATAACAGTATTTATTTTACATTTCTCTCTCGCTGGGGGTAACCTTTCATTTTCAACATAATCCCAGAGGACAAGGGAGCATCTTGTATCAAGAGACACCAATGGGCTAAGTGGAAAATAAATATGTTGGGGTTTTTTTATTCTTAAATGTATTATCAACTTATTTAGTGTCCTATATTTACCTCTGCTAGCAGGAGAACATTATCTAGAGATCTGAAAGAAAAAAAATCAGATGGGACCAGATGACCATCTCATTGAACCATCAGTACCAGTAGTAACAATGATGGCATACAACGTATACAATAAAGTTTCTGTAGCTTGTTATGCTGGAGAATAATGGTGCGCCAAATTCTAAAGGGTGGATTTATATTTAAGTTGAATGACTTGCTCCCACCAAATCGTATTCAGATTTCTCAAAATGGAAGAATTTATTTAATGTTTAAAAGCCTCTTACCACCAACAATCCTCATTAAATAATCTTTGTGTATTATATTTGACATATTTAAAATCATAATTTAACTCAAAAATAATAATGAAAGTCCAAGAAATTTTTTATTAAAAATTTTAACCACCTGTTGAGTGAATTGGTTAGAATTTTTACAAAAGTGGATTTGTGAAGAACCTGTTACTGTCTTTTGCCAGTTTATATACCCTTTATTAGTACACATGCTAATGCTGAAAGGTATTTATTCATACAACTGCCACACCTAGAAACCTGCAGCAAGAATTGTGTCTTCAATTATACCAGGTACTCTAATGAAATAAAAGCCTAACTGACAAAGGATTCTTTTTGTTATAATAGAGGTCCATCTGATCCACAGTTAATTGCAGATACTGAAGTGATATCCATTGACTGGAAATGACTCTGAATCAAGCTCAAAGAGATTAGGACTTTCTTCTGATTTTGCACCAAGTAACCCCAGTGCAGTGCAAAATCGTTCTGGAATTATTCCTGGGCTTGTGAGATCAGGATCTGGCCAAAAGCTTTTGAAATACATTTTCTTCTGAGGCAGTGCTTTGATTCACTGGTCTCTGGGAAAAGGCAAATCTGATGTCTGAGCAGGTCAAACCCATCTCCTTTTCCTGAGAGAGAACTGGCAAAGCCATCAAACAGGTTAAAGATTCAAATCTGCATGTAAATGCAATCATGTTCCTACAGAGATGGGACAGGTTAACTTCACGGAGCCTGGCAGCCCTTAAGCAAAGCGATGGTGTCCTTGATTCATGTGCAGGACAGGGCTTGTAGGGGCTGCACTAGGCCTGACGCTTTCACCTTCAGAGAGAGAGACTGTTAATTCTTTAGTTACTGTTGCAGATTTAAATGTTAAGTTCTTCTGTGCCATTTTCTGCTTCTGGAGACCTTGCTCTCACAGTGTCCACAACACAAGGGTTGCTGAGGGCCACCATCCTCGTGCCATTGGTACCTGTGCTGAAAAAGGTTTAGGAGTGGAGTGATACAGAGATGTGTAACAGAAACGTGCATTCCTCTGTGGAGAAAAGTCATCTTATTATTGTAAAGCTGTTCTAAGTGCAAGACTGACTTGTACCATCTAGGGGGGGCTTGAGTCAGACTGCAGTGCAGTTCTTTAACATGTTAATTAGATTGCTTCCACAAAAAAGGACATGAAGATATATGTAGGAGCCAGCAGAGGAGAAGAAAGTTAAATATACTATCCCTGTTTTGCTGCTGTTACTGGCATAGGGATATCTGTTAGCATTCTCTGAGGAGTGAGTGGGTGCTTACTGCCATATGTTACAAAACAGCATTTCACAGAAGATGGCCGAGCTGTTAGAGCGAGGGTAGAACAGACAACTTTTCAATCTGTCTATTCAAGAACCTGCAGTTCTCCCACCATGGCAGGCAAAATGATAAACACAGCCATTAGGTAGAGGCTCACCTGTGTAATCAATTCCCCCAGGTTGCTGCTGCTAATAGCAGTAAAAACAACTTCTAAGCTATGAAAATAACATGGTGGCATTTTTTTTTTCTTTCCATGGCTGTGCTGTCAGAAAACTGCTGTGATCCTGCTATGAACAAATGATTTTTAACCTAGGCAAGCCTTATTCGGGCAGTTCAGGTCCTCCTGCCTGTAAGTTGTCTTCAGAACTTCCACAACAACTTTTGAACTTCTTGACCAATTTGTATCAGATTTTATCAGAAAGGCAGGATCATCAAAGATGCACAGTTCCAGCACATTTTTGTGAAAACAGAAAATGGTGAGAGAGATCTGAATTAATCCTCCACGGAAAGAAAGGGTGAAGAGCTTAACCATGTTATTAGACAGCAGAGAAGCTACCAGCAAACAGCCACAGGAAACCGGGTGGTTTAAATGCCACTACCCACAGAACGCAGGTGTGTATCCATAGCACTCTGGAAAATATACTCAGTAGCAGCACAGAAGTGCACCCATTTGTTGGGTAGAGTGTAGCAGACAAGTATCATATAAAATACTGAAGAGGAAAGTTCAATAGATTTTATAATTATTGATAAGGTAGTTCTGTGCATCATAACAAAAATCTGGATTTTTTTGGTGATTATCGAAGTTTATTATTTACTTGATACTTTTAGTACTTTATATTGCAATTTATTGCTCCAAGCTGTCACAAAGTTTGTAGATAACATGTCGGAGAATGCAGTAGGCTTGGAGTCACAAATAAGACCACTTCCCTCTTGAATGGTAGTTGCCTCTCTAAATGAGAATTTCTCCTCTAAACACCTTCCCTTTACATTCAACCTGCACTTGGCAAAAGCCTAAGAAATGCAGAGACATTAACATCAAGCCCAGGAGACTGAAAAGTGTGAAATCTTGCAAACTAAAAGCATGGGAAGATGTACTTCTGTCAGAACTAGTAACAGCAGCAACAAATAGCAGCCCGGTGCTATCAGGGTCATGTTGTATTAAGTCCTCCATAATTATTAAGTGCTGAGATATAACCTCAGATGAAAAGCACAAAGGGTCAAGTCATATGAAAAATACTGAGTACCTGGCTGTAGGCACTTCACAGGTATAACAAGAATAATTATTCATATAAAACCAGACCTCAGAGGGTTCATCAGGGCCTCACTGCATCAGACATGGGCAACCAGTTACAGAAGGACATGTGCTTCATTTTATACATGAGACTTTGGCACAGAAGGCCTAAGAAAGATTAACCGCTTGCCTGTGCTTATACAGGAAAACTGGCGATAGGGAAATAGATCTCTCAGGTTCTATTCAGATCCTTTAATCACCAGAACACCAATACTCTTTAAAACATGGAAACAGATCTTAGTATTGTGTGTATCTGCCTATGTCCTCAATATTAAATATACAATCAAATATTAATGTTTGACCTGATTATACTTGAGCTTTTTTCTTTTTTTTTTTTAAAGAGCCACAATAAAACCGGTTGTTTGAAGATGAAAATGATAAACTGTTAAAAAGATGAATATCAAAATTAGATATAATTTTCAAGGGTAAATCTAAATGCCACAATGGAGCTGTTATGGGAGCTCATACACGTCCTGTAATGTGTATTTATAATGGGGTCCTTGCAGTGTGCTGTGCTAGCATTGCTGTAGTTATGGTGCTGTCAGCATTTCCGCTCTTAAGTGCTATCATTCAGGGTGCTGCAACTCAGCCATCAAATTCCTCTCATTGCCGAAATGTGATGGGTGGACTTTTCCATAAGATTCCCAGATGGAAAACTTTTTTAAGAGTGAAGCCAACAGGATTCCATGGACATGTAACGATGTACTACAGAGTAAGGCAAAAATGTAAAGAAATGGCTTGTTATATGTTAATGGCAGTTGCTGAACCAGCTCACATACTTTAGTAGTTAAGTATATACTTAAAGTGAGAGATAAAAAGTCTATTTTTAAATCACCGTAACTAAACATTTAGTCTGCATGTGAACCTTAATGTGGTGAGAATACAGGTTATACATACATCTCCATGTTCTGAATTACTTTTCTTTCATCAGCTGTTCCTAGAATAGTAAGAAATTTGTTCTCTGCTGCTAATCTAGCAGGAGCCTCATATTCTGCTTTTAATACTACACAAATTCAAATTCTCTGCTGCTATAAGTAGTTCTATTATAGTTCCCTTGACTTTAATAACGCTTACATCAGTTTATGCCAGCTGAGGATATGTCTCGTAGGCTTTCATATCTTAAGTTTGATCACAGCTCTGCATTTACTTTGTCACGGAGACGCTAACCTGGAAATGTGTATATCAGGGAGATTTTGAACATAATTTTCCTTGCTGAGCAGAAATCCTCCGGGGGTTAACTTGTCAGAGCAATGCAATATAAAATAATCTGTAGGCTATGTTGGACTCCCGCGTTGCACTGTAGCAGTCTCTATGCCAGGTACCAAGGATAGTAGGTACTGGTTTGCTAAAGCTTGTAAGTAGATTTGAGAAGGTCTTGTTATCTGCTTGTGGGAAACAATACTTAAAAGGATGCAGTGAGCTCTACAAATTGGAAGAGCGAGTTCACTTGGCCAGAATACAACTGATATGACACAAAGTGTTTGCAGAGAACAACTCCCACCACTGCTTTAGCCCAGGAAAGAGACAGGCAATAGGAGGCAACGCTGTGTTGGGAGTAGGGTGTTTGGAAGAGCTGTTACCAACACAGCAAATATAACACAGGATCACTGCAGCAGCATCCTTCCAGCTTCAGACCACAATGTACCCCTCAGTGTGTACCCTACCAGTGTGTAGGCACTTCCCAAGCCCAGGATTAGCATGATTATAGCAAGTGAGCTTCTGTAGCTGACAACATGGAAATGGTTTATTCTGCAGGGTGGACACTGAGCATCTCTCTGCTGTTGGCTTGAGCAAAGGTAGTCACTAGTGCAAAGTTGGAATTCAAGCTTTAAAGGCTGCTAGTGCCTTTTTCTCAAGGTTAACATCTTTAAGAAGATTAGGCATCGCACTCCAAATGCTGTAGTCCCTCTGGCTCAGGAGGTAGTCCCTGGGTTCAGGATATTTCTAGAGGTATGCATACTTTGTTTCTTCTCATTCATAGTTTGCAAACAGAGGACTTGTTGCCCTTTGGTCTGGTCTGCATCATGGAGTAAAGCAAAGGTGAGCTGCAGAACTTTGCTGAGGTCCTTGAGTGTGGCCTTTTTGAGTGGTGCAGAGGGAGAGTGTGCCTCTCCCAAGGCGTACACTGGCAATATCGGAATGAGCTGTCACTCGTGGTAAATAGTGCAGATATTCATAACATCATCTTCCTTCAACAGTCATATGTGCTTTGATGTGTGGTGAAATAATTAATACTTTAAATGTCAGCACTGTTATCGTTGGATATCTGAGTTAGTCCCCATTGAGATGAATGGACTGAGCTGTTGTTTCAGGTTTTGCAAATGCAGACAGATGTCATGGCATTGGTTGCTCAAGTGTGAGAATTTATTTTTTTCTCCTATTCTAGTGAGTCATAATATATGGAGACTTGTATTTAAAATGAAAGCATGGATTTTGGACCATAAGGAACAATATAAAAGAGGAAGCACTGTGCCATACTCTGAGCCTTCTCATAAAGTCTGGCAGACTGTGGGGTATTTAGACCTCTCCCTACTGCTGACTGTAACTATTCTGTTGTTAAAACAGTTATGCTGGAGTGAGGTTTATAGACTAACCAGCAATTTAGTTTATTCACTAGAAGTTGCTCCTTTTTTGCATACATTATATCATGTCATGCACAATTTTTGAAACTGTGCTGTGGGAAATTTGAGAGACCCCCTTGTGCCTGACGCACTGGATTTGAGAGTTGCCAAAGGGATTTTGCTGTACCTGAATCAGTTTTCTTGGGGGTTTCATCTCAGATATCTGATTTGTAGGAAGTAATGGTCTCTGAACCCATGAACCCAAAAGTATTTGGATATAATTTTGGCATATTTATTTGTAACAAGAGATAAATCACTACTGATCTGGTAGCTCTTTTTTTCAGTGGAAGTGGTATTGTGGTGAAGCTGTTTAAATTTGCTGGTGGATTCTACATCTTGCCCTTCAGTTGAAAAGGCGCCATTTACTTCCACAAATGTTGGATACTGGTTTTTAACAGGATTTCATGACACAGATATTTTTGTTTCATTCATGAGTAAAACTAGTAGTAAGCAATTTTGTTACAAGCTGTACAGAAAACCTTTTGTGCTGAAAGACATAATATATACATTGATTCAAAATGGCTGAGCTCTTCGAACAATTCAACATTGTTGAGAAATTATTTGCTGCTATTTATCTATCAGAAAGAAAATGTCCATGTCAGTCCATTGGAAAAATGTTTGTTGAATAACAGCCAATTTCTTCCTCTTGAATTAGCATTTTGTATGTTCCCATTAGCTATTTTTAGTGAACTATGTATACATATATGTTTGAATTCCTATATATTTTATATTGCTTTTGCTTAAGATATATAACTTCACTGATTAGACTTGTAATCAAGAAGAGAAATGGCACACAATGATGTATAGGCTCTTGAGAGAATTGGCCTATAATTCTCAGGATTATTGGCAAAAAACCCCACTCCCCCAAAAAAACCCTCTTCCCAAATGGGATGTAGATTCTGTGACAGTTGAAATGTGTATTATTAAACTCCTTAAGCAAACCAGAATGGCTCCCAGTGGAAAGCAAAGACATTCTAAGTATAGCCAAGACTAAATTCTCAGGTCTGGGTTTTCTCTACTCAATTCCCACTTGATTATCTCCTGTAATATTTAAACCTCATGCCATGCCATAATTATTTAATAAAAAGTAAATATAAAATGTATCTCAGTGGGGAATATGACCTTTTACCTTCATGTTGTTATACCAAAGTCAGACACAGATAAACAGAGAATCTGGATCAGTGAAATAGTCTGTCTCACTTGATAGTTTCATTCTTCCAGCATCTGAGATGGTAATCCTGTAAGGTGCTGAGTATATTTTGTAAGATTCAGTAAGTGCCATCAGTGTCTCTTGGAATCATGTTTTCAGCTGTGCTGATGTCACCAGTTTGTTTTGGTTTTTTTTTTTTTTTTTCCTCCAAAAGAACCACAAATGGTACAAGAGGATAGAAGCAGCTAGCACTGAATGAGGATAGTGCTAACGGACTTACATCTGTTACTTATTAAATGCATCATGGAATTCTTAGCAAGGTTCTCAGCATGTGATTTCATGAATGTGTCTTTTGAATTACAATGCACATTCTGAAGTAGAAGGAAATTCTAAAAACCTCATACCTGTAACTGTATTAGTAAACACTAGTAATCCTCATGTAGTTGAGGCAGTCAAAGCCTGTGAGCTTGCAGAATGCTAAAGAACTGACTTTTGGTTTCTGTATTAATTTGGAGTTTTGAATAATCAGAAATTTTGACTAATCAGAAATCACATCATTATTGCCAAGATTTCATAGTAGAGAGTATTAAAGTGTCTGAAGTTTTATGAAATCAGCAATGCCAACAAGGCTCTACTAGCTATTGCTAACTGAGGATCTGGGTCAAAAATCTCTTGGTTTATCCACTAGAGATTAACATCATTACAGGGAAGTGGCTATGTATGCATAATAGCTGCACACAATTGAAGAAGTTAATGTGTCTAATGAATAGCTGTGCCCTGGTTTGTGATGGCAAAATATTGGGGTGGGGGTGGGTGATGTGTTTATTAGATGAGCAAATATGGTAGTCTTGATTTCTGACTGTATAACCAACATAGTAGAGGACCTGTTCTAATTTGCATTAGAAAAAGTATTCCCTTTGAGAAGAGATTAGGGATCTTCAAGCTGAGCTTACTATTGAGCCTGTCTTACACACAGCGATCAGGGCTCACCTGAGCAGTAGACACAATGTACAATGTACCTCACCCTCTAGGAGCCCAGGCAAGGAGAGGTTTTCTGGGGAGCAGTTGTGAAATCCATCTTTCTTAGGTAATGAAACTTAAAGTCATACAAAGATATATACTCATATAATATGGGTGTGTTTTTCTGTTTTCCTTTCAGCTTTAAATGAACCTACCATAGATTATGGTTTCCAAAGACTGCAAAAGGTCATCCCAAGACATCCTGGTGACCCTGAAAGACTAGCTAAGGTAAAATATTTTTTAAGCATTTCACTGAGCCCACTAAATATGTTCTTTCACTCATAAAAGAGACAAAACTGTATCTTAAATGACAATTCCATCTGAACATGTTCACCAGTTAGTTGGTCGTCCAAACAAGAATGCAATCATGCAGAACCCACAGCTACCAGTAATTTTTATCTGTTGGAGCTCAAACACTATCTGTGAACTTCTCCGGCTGCTAAAACAAGAGTCCAATGCAGATACCTTCCCAGTTCATATTCATGGCCCTTTGCATTTATCCATACTGGCAAATCTCTGAACCTAAATGATGCAAGATAGACATAAAGGATTTGTTGCAGAAGTCTAAGCTTAAGGGATTTTTTTTTTCATAAAAAACACTTAAAGCTCAACTTTTTCTGTAGCAACAACTGCAGTATGCACGTGTTGAAACAGCTCAGGATGCTGTGTATCTGTAGTACCGCACACTGTGTTGATGCAGCACCTAGCACAATGACAGTGGCATTAATGACTATATTCCTAGATTTTAGCGCAGTACCAAAAGTACATATTATTGTCTTTGCATGATGAAAGACTATTGAATTCAGATAGTACACTGTAATTTTTTTCCCTA